ATACATGTACAGTGTAGCTTCTATATAATGGACACTTTGGATCAAGAAGGTGTCTCTGTTATACAGAGGTGTCCTTTATGTGGAGGCTATTTTATACAGTAAGGAATGTAATTGGTACACTAGGTGCTGTCCGTTAAATGGAGGTGTATGCTATAGAGAGTGTCCATTAAGAGAGACTATACTGTATACATGTACATGTAGTTGAAGAATCCTCTCGTTTAATGAGAGAGAAAGGTAACTACCGTATAGCCGCTTTGGCCCGCTTAATTTCGAGGGTACAATTTTCACTGTTTTCGTGGATTTTCTGTATCTGCAAAAGTTAATTCCGTAAAATTATCTGTATCTGTAAACACGTGCTTTAAAATAAGAACCACGAAAAAGTTAATTCGCAAAAAAAGACTTGTGGCCTGATTTGCAAAAGTTTATTGCCTCGAAACTTTGTGGCTATACGGTAGTACACTTCCTATTACACATTGGCACATTTTAATGAAGTTTTAAAAATGAATTTAAAAAATTAAAATGAAAAAATGGTAGACTCAACAAAAAACATAAAGCTGTGTATATCCCTAACCTGTGATTGTGTTAAATGGAGTGTGCTCTTAACGAATGGTATGACATCATAATTAGTCATCTGATATATCTCGTGTCCGTTAATGATACCAACCAACCTGTGCTGAGTACCAATTAATAAATAAGGACCTGGAGGAGAGAGAGAGGGGGAGGGAGGGAGAGAAATAATGTAATTAAAATGGCCATAACATTCTATACAGCATAAGTACATCAATATGTATCAGAAAATGTAATAAAAATTTGGGGTGATTTTGGAGTCATTTCTTGGAAAAACCATGGTACAGGACACTTTTCAAAAATTGACTATTTTTTTCAAAAACTCAAAAACTATTAGTCAAAATCAGCTCAAACTTTCTCCAACAGTGGTGGATTATAATAGTGCCAGTAATTATTAATTAAAAGAGGTCACATGACTTGATTACCTCCTAATAATCTAATTAATCCAATTAATAAGTGACAGTCCCTCCTCTCTCCATTAATAGCTGACACTTTACTTCTATCTATTAATTAAAAAATGATAATAAAATAATTAAAATAATAATATTAATAATACTATAATAATACTATACAATAAAAAGTTGTGAAATTAATTATTTCATTCATTCATGATTCATTACATGTTAAATCCATCACCATTACAAAACAACCAATTTAATGGACCTTATTCAATGAAATTTTTCTAATTAACGCGCACCTGAGTTGGTGGTAAAATGGCGGATTTTTGTAAGAAGGACAGGGTGAGCAATCTTGTCTTTTTATCCAGCCATTCTAGCTGTGAGAACCACTTTGAGCTGTCCTTTTGTTTCAGTATACTCTATTTATCTCTTCCGTAAGCTCTTTGGTTGCTGTTTTGGCTTTTATAGCATTTTATCATAGGAATATTCTTACTCATTGGCAATTCCCGTTTTTCTAAATTTTGCTTTCAGGAGCCAGGGCGCTTGCCCCTCCGTTGCTATCAAGACAGAAGTGTATTCACCTGAGTCCTATGACTAATTTCTATCATCAGACTTAGTCTCAGTCCGTCAGAACCAGGTACGGTGGAATAACTCACTCAGTTGTCATGTTGCAGCTGGAGTGTGGATGATTATGACCATCTTT